AGAGGTTGAGTACTGTCTGGATTCGCCGAATCACTGCGCTGGTTGCGAGAATTTCGCTTGTTGCAGATGGAGTCAAAAACAAAGGATATCGCTACGGCCATTACTCTAAATATCTTATTAATGATTGTGCGAATGCCAAATGATTGGCAGTATAATATTGTCATTCCCATCAGTATAAGACTACCAATAATTACGAGAACGATTGTCTTAACTAGTTTATGCAAACCTAAAGCTTGTAGAATCTTTTTTTCTGGGAATGAATTATTTGTCCTGCGTTTTTATCAAGAAATGTTATTGACTGTTGCATTTTGCTTACAAAATTTATCGGATGCCAGGTCTGAATGACCCAACGGTGCGTTTTGTAAAGAGGCGGAATGAAGTTGTGTATTCGAACGACTTTTGATAAGATAGATATCAGTGGAAATTCGAGCAAGGTTTGAATGGAAAATCGGTGGGGCATTAAAGATGAAGTCTTAGCTTACGAAGCCGTTAGGTAAATTTAGATGAATACTTGATTCTGGGGTGTATCCAGAAGATGAATTGTAATGTCATCGTTATAAATACCAAATGGTGAATGGTTATTGTCTGCTTGCGGACTAGTAGCAATAAGGTCGCGTGTACCAGGTTGTATAGAATAATGAACTTTTCCTATTCGCGCAGGTGTGAATGCATAACATGTGCCAACCACATTGTGATCGAGGAGAACTACCATAAGCACACCTCCAGCCGCTAGGGCAAACACATCTCTATCGAGGAGCATACGTGCCGCTTTAGTTGGATTCAGAGGTGACATACTCTTTGTGGTTGAATTTTGAAATTTGTAAGGGAATATATGCGATCTAGCAAAAAGTTGAAATCTTCTTGTATAATTTCCTCCATTTTCGTTTTTAGAAACTGCATCTTAGTATTTGGCTCGGCATGGCGGTTATCTTGGCACTGCTCGTGACCCAAAGAATGGTCATTATTCATGACGGTGAAACCTGGCTCTAGAATGGTGGCAATATGATTGGCAATATATAATGACATGTTGGGTTGAATTCTGTTGAGAGTGGGTTCTGTGATGTCTGTTTCAGACTGCTTGGATATCTTCAAGAAGGCAGCTAAAGCTCTATGATTACCAGAGCTCACGGTGGTTTGCGCGGGGGCTTGTCGCTTCTTAGGTCCTAGCCCTCTCATCTGATAAAATTCCTTCGGTATTGGCTTATTTTGAAGAATTTCGATTGCATAGTTATATATTACCAGTCGGGAAGCCCGGCTGACGCCAGGCTTCCCTCCTTCTTATGGGTTCGCCCGGCTACGCCGGGCGCTCCTTCTTCTTGTGAGAAATTTGCTATGCGTAAATAACACTTCGGATTCTCATTTGGCTTTGAAAGCTCTACACCCTCAGTATTAGTTCCGAAGTGGAGCGATTTTTTCTGTAAGCCAATCTCGCTGTGTCCGAAAGAACATCGTTTAATATCGCAAAGGCGATTATTCAGGGAAAAAAGTATTAAGAGACTTCGTCGCGGCTGAGGCTACTATGTTAGCTACCATCAAAGTTCCTCATTGCCATCATCAATGGCTCTCCTCCTTCTTGGGGCAAAGGGACTTTGCCCGAAAAATATCGAATTAATGAAATTCCCCCTTTTTAATATGTTAGTTCGCT